CGTCAATACATAACTGTTGATGAAACATGGATCCACCATTATACACTTGAACTGAAACAACAGTCGGCACAATGAGTTGAAAGGGTGGAAGTGCTCCGAAGCGAAAGGCGCAACAATCGGCTGGAAAGGTTCTGGTCACTATGTTTTGGGATGCACATGGAATAATTCTCATCGATTATCTTGAAAAAGTAAAAACAATCGCATGAGAATATTATACATTATTGTTGGGCCGATTGAATGATAAAATCAAGAAAGAAACGACCTCATTTAGCGAAAAAAAAAATTATCTTTCATCAAGACAATACACGCGCTAGCTCACAAATCGGTAAAAGCAATTGCAAAATTAAACGAATTGAGGCATAAATTGCTCCCACATCTACTGTATTCTCCAGATCTGGGATCAACACCCGTGTGATTTCTACCTGTTTCCAAATCTCAAAAGATGTTCCAGGGAAAGAGGTTTACTTCAAATGAAGAGGTTGAATGGGAAACAGACGCATATTTTGAAGGTTTAGAATCTTCTTATTATTTTGAAGACTTAAAGAAGCTAGAAACTCGTTGCACTCAGTGTGTTGAGCTAAAAGGAGATTATGTTGAAGAATAAAGTTGAATTTTGCTAACAAAATGTTTCTTTCATTTTCATTCTAAGGGCTTATCAATCAACCTGGTACAATAGGAACGATTTAAAATTAATTTCAACGGAATTTTAGACCGATTATTCAAGATTAGAGAGGTAATTGTTCTTCTGGGATTAATTTCAAAGGGGAAATCAATCGGCAGAAGTGTGTGATCCCATTTCTGAAAAATAATGTGCTGTAAAATATTCTGAAGAGGTGCAAGAGATTGTTCAGGATGAGCTGATTGTATTTTGGTCCGGATGACTTACAGGTTATGAAACGGGGAGAAGGGATAATATTCTTCCAGTTCATAATAATGTTATATTAACTTAACAAATGTCCAAAAGAGTTAGTCTTACAACCCAAAGTCCCCAACGAGACTAAACTACCCATGAGGTAGAATACGCGGTACTGCCGTATTATTTTACAAGGCACGCAATAGGAAACACTTCCTCACAAACGCTGTGGTGTAATTAACTGATCGTGCTAATTTAATACAATAAGCCTAACCGAAAGTCTTCGACTTAACTAATGCTCGGCATTACTTAACCAGCCTTCAATCCATACTCGACTTAACTCTTGCTTCGCTTGCAGGCGACTCATTTCTCCTCGATTCTCTTTTAGAGTTTCTCAGAGTTTCTTTCTAATCCAGTATCTCTCGGTTGAGACGCTCGCTAATATACCTATGTTAGCACCTGCTAGGTGCTGATACTTGCCACTGAAAAACCGAACTGAATATCCGGATTAGGAGCGCAATTCCTTAAATTTCTTACACAAGCAGGAGCAAACGGAAAGAGATCGAAAGTGGAATTACATATGCATATAGCATTGGCACAGTATAAGTAAGAACAATAATTTCACTCCGTGAAAAATGGTGCAAACGATTGTCTCTCGCGTATGACTAAACTGCAAGTCAAGAACATGTCTGCCAGCAGCTGTCACAATAAATATATTTTACATACATATAATTTATATGATGCAAACATATTTTGGTTCCACATATTTTCTTATATAATAATTTCATGTTTTTCCATGTTAACGTGATTTTCTGTTCTATCTAGGGAATAATTATTGCTAATAGAATAGAAAATCATGAAGACATTTAAATGACAAGAAATTGATTGCAAAAGTAAAATTATTAGTTGATTGTTTTCCTAGATATTTTGACGTTCTGATTTTATTTTAAAGTCATTATTTAATTCTTTTGCCTGAAAATCATTTTACACTTCCATTATGTATATTTACATTTACGAACTATTAATTATCATGTCAATTAATTCATACAATATTATTTAAACGGCACAGATCTCCACAGAACATTCTAAAGACGTCGTTTGGAGATTTCGTGCTGTCTGGACACAGAGATTTATTTTAGCCAGCATCTATCGTCATTCAAATTGTAACCCGCGCACACCGAACGTCTAGAAGTTCATTTCTTCAGGAATCTTGCTGCCCATTCACGGTCGCCAGGGCGTTTCTAGAGACACGCCCAAACTCGAGGCTTAGAGAGCTGAACCAGCCAAGTCTCTCCAGATATGCCTTTGATGTTAATAGATACTCAAGGGGAATCCCTCCCCTATAGATTTGTAGTTCCCGAAGAAATGTTCGTGTCACCGGACGCTCGCTTTGGAGACACGAAGTAGAAGGTAGAGAAGCTTCAAAAAGATGAGTCTTCACCACGTCCGTTAAACCAAACTCTCGATTTATTACAAAAAGAAATTGAATTCTTAAAAAAATTCTAATATAGTCAAAAGTACAAATAATAAATTCTGTCCCGTGTCGGGGAAAAACAAAACGAAACTGGTGATACAATAAAAAAAAACGATGGTTAATTGTATAGATAAAACTTAACGGTACTACCTACATATATGATCAGAATCAAAGAATACGGATAATCTAGAATGAATAAAAAAGAACACAAAAAGGTCGTTATGTTAATAATCTAATTTTTTGGCTCCAACTAAGCGAAGATATATTTTTTGAACAATTACGCCCACACCGAGGATAACGCGGTGTGATGACGTTCGTTTTCCTCGTAGAAACCCTATTACGATGCACGGCCCTTATCGCGAACACGTTGGGACCTTAGAGCATATACTATTGGAGGTAGCACGTCTCGATAAAACTATGGTCAGGGTGCGAGAGAGAAAGGTAAATTAGAGGTGACAGCTATCTCTCTCTTACTGAACGCTCATTGGTTGTTTGCTTAGAAGGAGAAAGGCCTATACGAAAGTTCAATTGCCGCCTAACTCGTCAGTTCGTCTGCTAGTCTGTATCATTTTGACGCGTTTATTATATTTGAACATTTAAGTATGTGTAAATAGTGCTGTTTGGTTTAAATTATTACAATGTCAAAAATTTGTTGCATCCCATATTGTCGTATGAGACAAGACAATCCTGACTGTTTGGATTTATGTTTTCATAAGTAAGCCTATTAAAAATGAAGTTGTGTAGGTTAAGTGAACGTTTTCGTTTTCAGTTTTGGTATCAATAATTTTTATAATTATTTTTCTTTAGATTTCCATCAGATGAAGTTATTAACAATAAATGGTGCGATGCAATAAAAGATAACTTTGAAGATTGGACTTTAAAGAAAAGTTCATATGTTTGTAGTTTGCATTTTTCAGTAAAATGCTATCAATACTCTGGTATGTGTATGAGACGTATGTTAAAAAAAGGCTCTATACCAACTATTTTTTCGGAAAGTTGTGATATGGCAAAATAAAATCTATATAAATACAAAACAGAGATTCGAACCCTGAACTTCGTCATGCCCCGACAGTTGCGCGTACCCTCGGCCACTTCGTTTGTAGAAAGATGGGCGTTAAAACTTGTATTTAACTTAGTCCCTTTCGTGGAGGCTTAGGTTTTGTATTTACGTTTAATTATTTGTTCTGTCTTAATTTAATGTTTTGATACTATAATTACTTTTTAATTCATAATTAGGGATGTATTATTTATTTATAGATGTTTTATAATGTTATTTCGTATACATTTATACGTTACAATCTCTCAAAAGTGGGGAGTTGGAATCGACCAATGAGCGTTCAGTAAGAGAGAGATAGCTGTCACCTCTAATCTACCTTTCTCTCTCGCACCCTGACCACACTATTATAACACGGACAGCATAAGGCACGCTTCCTCCAGTAGTATATGCTCTAAAGTTGGGACACGATCGGGCGCGCACAGTGGAGTGACGCAATATGCGTTATTCAACGTAACGAATCACCCTGTGGTCCCGCCGGCAACGGGGTTTGCTTCCGAACGAAATTACCGAATCCCGCCGTCTTATTTCGCGATCCGCGTCTATTTACGCGACCCACGTCTTGATTCCCCGACGAGGGGTTTCAATCGGAAACGGTAACGTTATGGGGGGAACAGTGGCGGATCTCTAGTCCACTTACCGTCGCAAAAGCGACCGGTCATTTCTCCGCGTCTCCCAGGTCTTTGTTCGTGGACTGGCACCGGGCCTTCCTTCCAAGCGATAGTTCCTCGTTCGCCGTCCCCTGGAGATCCCGTCGTTTTTGTCCTCTACGCAGTTCCTTCCTTTCTTTCTCAACGTCTTCTTTTCTCTAGCGTCCGCTCGCAACTGCCTGCCTTGCTTCTTTTTCTATTTCAAACGTTATCTACCTTTCGCGACGCTTCCTGATTCGCTGTCAGCCCCGGCCAATCGCAGTCGCGCCTCGCTTTTGTATCAGCCTGGGTCTGCGATGCCATCTACCGGAGGTCTTTACTTTTCTTCCGGTTAGCCGCGCTCCCTTATGCGGCTGAACCTCCGGTTACACTTATACCGTGGCGTATAAAAGGAGCGAATATGAATAAGTGGTCCGTTCTTTTTAGTTGCACCAGTTCAACAGTGAAGTTAAAAAGAACAGACCAAAGGATATGGACGTACAAATTTATATATTTAGAAATATCCCTAGAGTGTTCACAAATGTATTAGCTTCTGTCCATAAGACGTCACAATGCTTGCCGCGCGGCAGAAGTTCGCGCGGTAGCCTATATCATAAATGTAAATATAAATAAACTTCTAATTCTTACAGAAAAATGGCGTGTTGATTGGCTGCATTGCAAACTTTCGCCGCGCGGCAAACGTTGCTACGTTCTATGGACAGAAGCCATATATCCTATAGACATAGGGTCAATGGACATTCCGACCAGAAATGAACACAAAATGGATATCCATAGGATATCCCGTTGTTTGTCATGTCATGCTAATCGGCTAATTATTAATTGTTATAGCAAAAGTATTTGGAGTATTTTACAAATTTGCTATGAATGTGCTGGATTTGTTGAATGAATTGCTGTATCATTTTATGAATATATCTTTTTATCTCAATATATAATGTAAGAATAAAGGAAGCGTAAAAAATGCGCTGCGTGCTAGCTTAATATTTACTTATTTGCGGAAACATACATTTAATATATAACAATTATAATAATCGTAGATAAAAACATATACTGCAGCATTTTATATCATAATTTCCGAAAAAAACGAAAATGAGAAAGAAAGAAAACATTCACATGTGTGTGCACGCATATATATACCCATGTGAAAATCGCTGGCTCTGATATTTTACAAACAAACAGCACAAGTAAAAATGAATTTCATCAAGATAACGTAACAGCGTGTTAATGAAGTGTGGTGGAACAGTTTCAATTAATTGGCCTTTTGTATCATGTACAACAATAAACTGTAACGCTGCATCCAGTCTTTGAAAGGCACGTCGTCTACGGTGGTTTTGATGAGCTCCATCACTTCTTGTACGTTTTGGTTTGTCCTAAGTGTTCATATGATTGAATATCAGCTTGCTATATCAACTCTGGAAACTATCACGATATTTTTTAAATAATGCGTCTTACCAGGAGTCTAAAGTTGCATTAAAACTCCCGATCTCCTTTCGTACTTGATTGTAAACTATCCTGGAAAGGCACAATAAATTCAGGCTGATGTCATTGTACTTTTCTCGCGATGGCATCGATTTCATCGTGCATTTGATGTCCTCCGTCGGTATAGAACACTGCGATTTTATATAAATTGCATTAGCGGCCGAGTCTTTATAACAATCTATGAGAGTGTATATCGGCGTGTGTATCATCGGAAAATAAGACTTAATTTTCGAACACTGCGGATTGATCGCCATCACGGAGGCTCTGTTGAAACCGCGGATTGCGTGTCTGTGAGAGAAAATTCATACGCCACATATCAGAAATTGCGAAAATAAATTAATTGCACGATCTAACGTACAATGAAAAACGAAACGATTTGAACGCGTTGAAGTTGAGAGCACAGTAATCTATCACGATTGAAAGTCACTATCGATGAGCTTGCATGGTAATCGATTATGACGAGTCGAAATAACAGCACAAGTAAAAATGAATTTCATCAAGATAACGTAACAGCGTGTTAATAACTTCCAGAAAATCTTACAAGTGCGCGAAAATGTGCACTGAATGCGATGAATGTGCGTTACTCTATACTACCTTATCTAACGGAAAATTTAAGTAAAACATATAAAAATGTTTCCGTAAACTTTCTATATCTTTTTAGGCATATATATTTAATTGAAAAAATATAAAAATGTTCAATGAAATTTTTTCAATTGGAACACTGACACATTTGATATGTACGAACTACAGGATTTCTATATTAGATAAATATTTACGCTAACTGACAGCTAAAAATATCCATTTTTTCGTTTTCACCACAAACATCGTTTTCATCACATATTGGACAATACTTCAATTCATTTTCGTGCGTGCTTTCAGTGTATAAAAACATTTATAAAGTGCAATTAAGAAGAAGTAAACTTTGCAGAAAAAAATTAGTATCCTGTCGGTAAAGTTTTCAAATATAGTATTTCCTTAATAATATTAATCATTGTACATTGGGGCATTAATATGTTTGCAAAATACAAGAAATTTTTTTAAAGTTTTATAACAAGTTAATATAGCCAGTATTAAAGTAAGTGTGGTAAGTATAGCAGTAAGGTTATTGAATAGAAAGTATTTTACAAGGTACTTCATATTATACGTTGAAAATATTAAGATAAAGTGAAAAATGTTTGAAAAGTATTATTTAATTTTTCGATAACCTCACTTTATATTTCTATATACAAAATATTTGGAAAAATCTATTTGTTACAAAAAACCTATAATTCTATTTAAAAAATTTGCGTTGATCTAACTTTGGCAACTTTAACAACATATTCAAGTTAGGATACTGCCATTAACACGTTCGCTGCCACGCTCCTTGGGCATATTTCCTTCTATCAAGCCGCTATACGTGCTTTCTGCTTTATTCAAAAGCCAAGGGTCAAAATTAACGTGCTTATACTATAGATTAACTCGTCCTTGACATAAGAGGTCGGTAATCGACATACAAATATATTTGTGGTTGACTTGTGAGGCTCATATACCAATTACGCGTAATATATACTCGTAATTGGCACTGAACATGTTAAAAGTGCCTTTTTAAATCTTATAACTTTGAAACTTTTTGAAATATTTGTTACTAAAATGCATATATTCCAAACTACTACAGGGTCCTGGCACTTTTCGTACACCCTATATAAGTCAATTCTTCGAGTACCAATATTGTAACGATGAAACTCAGGATACTCTTGAATATATTAAGGCTCTTAGTTCCTTGCTACAAAAACTTTTATTTGATGACATCAGAAGAGAAAAGACACATGCCAAAAATTCTTGTGTTATATGTTCAAATAGAAAGATATATTTATAAAGTGACATTTTGTGATCGATTCAGCACACTTGTAAAATTGTCCGAACTTTTCTTCTCGAACATTTAATAAATAATAACAATAGAATTAATATTGGCAAAATGACAAGAAAAAAGTTAAGAAGAAAAATTCCATATTGAGTTAATTTTCCAATTATTTATTGATTGTTCGAGGGAAAGAAAAATATTCGGACAATATTACAAGTGTGCTGAATTGATCACAAGTATCATTTTATGAGCATAACTTTTTATTTGAATATATAACACAAGAATTCTTGGTATGCAATTTTTCGCTTCTGACGTTATCAAACAAGGACAGTTACAGCGAGGGATCAAGAGCCATAACACTTGTTACATTTTGTTGATTCAATTTATCTTCACACTCCATATTGTTCAATTCCCGTCATAATCAATTATTACACAAACTTGCCGACAGTGACTCTCAGTTATGATAGTTTGTTGCGTTCGTAATTTCATTGCGTCTAAACCATTTCATTTCTTTCTGTACAAAACTTTTACCAACCTGTATTGACCCACATCTCCTTTCAACATTATTTTCTGCAAAGCGTTAAGATCTAAACTATAATAGAACACGTCCAGCTCTACATTCAGTGCGTTACTTAGCCATCTCGGATTATAATCCTTGATCTGCAACGCCGCTATTTTCTGCAGCTCACAGTGCAACTTTTCTTTCGCTTCGAACATAAGCGAGGCGGTGGAGTTCAAGATGGTTATGGATTGTTGGATATTTTTCACGTACTCGTCCTGTCGAAAAAAACTTGTTGATATCGCAAGCGTGCAAAACATATAATGAGAACGTACCATCTGCGCATCGATTGTTTCTATATCGGTCGTCAAACGAGCTATCTCGAAATTCAGCAAAGAATTGTCTTGGATATCGTTTTTCAGTTTCTGCGTCTCGTTCTGCAGGCACGCCTGCTCAGTCTCTAGCTTCTTTATCTCCAATGTCAGAGTTAACCATTGGCTTATATCTTCATGGGACAACGACTACAACAAGATGGGAAGTTTCATTCTAATTATATATCTTACATTCTTCGAGTATATTCTTCTTATTAGACAGGTTGCCGTCTTTAAAGAAGCTACATATTACCTCTACTAATCCTATGAATTCCATTATATGCTGTTGGTACTTGTTGGCCTTAGTATTAGATAACATACGTCTTAATATCATGCATATTTGTTGGCCACACGCTTTTGCAATACTGATGTCTATATTTTCACCTATTGTAGGAAAACTGCTGATATCTTTAATTTCCAACTTCATTAACATGTCTAAGTCCTGTGACAATGCTTGATACAAATATGTCCACAATGTATGTGTGTCAATGTCAGCAAGAGAGCTCGATACATTTCTCCAGATCTATAAATACAAAAAGAAAAGATTGCTGTTATTTTAATATACAATTTGAATCTTTAAAAAAGTATATCAAAGAAAGATCCAAGCTGTTTTAGCGTAATATAAAAAATATTTGAATTTTCAGTAATGTAAATAATAAAATATCTCACATATTTAAACTTTTGAACACTTCAAACTTCATTTTGATCATCTTCAATGGTGACGCATACAATCCATATTAAGAGAATAAGAAACATAAACGTTCACTAGCCGTCGTCAAATTAAGGGAAAATGTTTTGTTTACGTGAGAGTTTACGATCAGCCGAAATATAATGTACTAGAGATACTATATTAAGGCTCCTGGTCCCTCGCTGTAACTGTTCTTGTTTGATGACATCAGAGGGGAGAAAACGCATATCAGGAATTTTTGCGTTATATGTTCATATAAAAAGATATACTCACAGAATGACATTTGTGATCGATTCAGACACTTATAAAATTGTCCGTGTACTTTTTTTTTACTTGAACAATCAATAAACAATCGCAAAATCAATTTGACATGAAACCATTCATCTTAACCTCTTTTCTCATGATTTTGTCAATATCAATTTTACGATTATTTATTGCTTGTTCAAATAAAAGAAAAGTGCACGCACAATTTTACAAGTATACTGAATCGCCCGTGAGAGGTTGCTAGTCCCCCATCGGCCTCCTCCCCACGTGGCAGATTGGGAAATGCTCGTCAATTTGCTGAAGGGTACCGGGAAATAAAATACCCGGGGTGGATCAAAACTAGCATTCTTGAGCAGTGGACAAAACAAAATTTAGAAATACCACCCCGAGTGGCAACCCGCGTTCTATCCTGGAAAATCCACCTTCTGATGAGGCAGGCCCCGTGAATTCTTGTGGGGAGGGGGGGGNGCATCTATTGTTTTTAAAAATTAATAATACCACCACCAGTAATGTTCTTGAAATATCTCAGGCGGAGGGCCATGTTTAGGAATGCAGTCTTGCTATTGGTATTTCAATTCACGACTTTAAACCATAAACTCAAAATGAAATGTTCCTGTGGAGTGCACGGAGACAGGCGATGGAAAGATTGACACAAATGGAAACCAGATTTCAGTTATTGCAATAGAAAAAAAACTCCTATGAACCCAAATTGCATAATAGATGCAGAAGAACAAATTAATGTGAGAGATAGGCTCGAATATAAGTTTATCAACAAACAAAAGTTCCATGGAGAATTCGACTCGTCTTCTTTTAGTCACACTTCTGACAATTGCGGGAAAACTGAGCAGGTGGGAACTTACAACTCTAATACACCCCTATATAACCAACAAAGATATAACTTGCAAGCCACGAGTGGACTCAAAAAGACGAGGCCCCAACAAACGTTACAACAAAGCTTTGCTAATATTAGATCCAGGTCACATTCAATGAGCGAATTACCAAATAAGCTCACCTCAAAAAACGCTGAGACTAGCAAACAAACTCTGATACAAAACAATTCTAGTATTCTAAGGTCTAGTCATCAAGAATCATGGAAAAAGGTTTACAACAAAAAAAGAAATGGTAACAGCCTAAAACAAATCTCGTCACGTAAACAATCCAAGGTCGACAACTACTAGCTAAATAAACTTGTTCAAATATCCAAAAGCCTTAATAGTCTTGAAGAAGATGAAGAAGAACAAAACAATCTGGTTAATAACGACATACCAGAAAAGACAGATAATCCCTCTCCTATCTTTGTAGCTAGAGTCACCAATATTCAACCGCTCACACACTTGCTAGAGAAAATCGTCAAAAACGAATATGAACTTAAAATTATCAACGGCGAGCAAGTTAGAATTCAGCCAAAAAATTCCGTCGCATATATCAATATTGTCAAAGAGCTTAAAAGTAGAGGCATGGAGTTTCATACATCTTTTTAGTTTAGCATAATTCTCATACATATAAATCGAAGCAGAAAAAGGGATTCAAAGTTGTATTTAAGAACATGCACTCCTCAACCAACACAGATGAAATTAAGAAAGAACTAGAAGAATTAGATCATACGGTAACTAATATATAGAATATTAAAAATAAAGGCACCAAAAAACCGCTATCAATATTCTATGTTGGACTCAAACCGAACTCAAATAAGCACATAATATGAAGTCAAAACGCTCTTCCAATGCAAAATCAATTTCGAAGCACCACATCCAAAACGGGATATTCCACAATGTTCCAAAGACCAGCATTATGGACATACCAAAAGCTTCTGCTTCCAAACAGCTTGATGCGTGAAATGCGCTAGTGACCATCTAACCATCAACTGCTCACGCAAAGATCCGACCTTGTAAAATGGATTTTTTGTGACGGCAATCACCCGGCTAATTATAGAGAATGCACAATCTATAAAGAATTCCAAAAAAGCAGATATCTTGCTCTTCGAAAGAAAGTATCAGTATCGAACTTACAACTTAAATTAGAGACGCAAGCTATATCCATTCAAACAAGACTTGTTCAAACAAATAACTCCTATGCGGCTGTAACAAAAGTTGCAATTTGCCAGACTAACTTAAATAACCAGAAGAAATTCGGGATTCCCAAACCACCTTTCAATACCTGGTTAATAATACGCAAACTAATGGTATCCAAGAGTTAAAATATATACTAAATGAGCTCATAGCGAAAATAGGCTCAATGCTAGCTAAACATCTTAATAACTGCTGCCCGTAAACCATTAGAACGGACAAGGCAATTAAAATAGCTTCCTGGAATATCAACGGGCAATTCAAACATTTACAAGAAATTAAAACATTTATGCACACAAGTAATAGTCATATTACTCGTTTCAGAAACCCATTTTATTACTAAAAGTTATTTTCGCGTTCCCGGTTATATACCCGCAGGTCTACCCGCATGCACCCGGACGGCAAAGTTCACAGTGGAACGGCTGTATTAATAAGGAATGACATCAGACATTTTGAAACTGACAAGTATCAAGAAGAATTTATATAAGCCACAAATGATTATTGAGAACTGGGGGAGAACAAATGGTTATTGAGAACTGGGCTGGCAATATTGTTATCTCCGTTATATACTCTCCACCTAAACATGCAATCAAATATGAACAATGACATTCTTCGAATTTCTGGGCAATTGATTTATTGTCGCCGGCGACTTTAACACCAAAAATATATACTGGGGCTCCAGGCTAAGTCAACCTAAAGGTCGTGAATGTCACAAAGCGACAGAAACTATGAACTTCAGTACCTTGTCTACCGGGGAGCCTACATACTGGCCATACTTTCAAGAGATTTTAACAGCCAATCTCGACACTTCTATTCCTTTAAAGACTGATGTCGACATTATTGATGCAGTCGAACATTTTAACTACTGTGTTCAGCAAGTCGCATGGTCATCTACCCCGATATTAGATCACGCAAATGTCAATGTAGTGTGTTCGCGGGCAATCAAAGTTAAGTTGGCAGAAAAAAGGAAGTTGAGAAAGCTATGGCAAAGTAACAAATGTCCTACGTTAAAGACTAAACTTAATCGTATAATAAAGGAACTTAAAAGTCTGTTAAACAGAAAAAGAAACCGAGGAGTACAAGAATACTTAAGCAAGCTAAGCCCTTCGGCTGCAACAAACTATTCGCTTTGGAAGGCCACTAAAAAATTAAAAAGACCACAAATCCAACACCCACCAACACCCATCAAAAAACAAAATGAAAGTTGGGTCAGAAACGATGAGGATAAAGCCGAAACTTTTGCCTTACACCTCTTCGAAGTCTCCAGGCCAAATCCGAAGGAAATCAATCAAGAAGAGGAAGACAGGTTAATAGCAAAATCCACTACAATACCTAATTCGGATACTCTTACTAAAACCTTCTCAATCAGAGAAGTAAAAGGTATAATTAAAGATCTAAATTCAAAGAAAGTCCCAAGTTATGATCTCAACCAATCACATACTGAAAAAACTACCAGACAAAGAATTTAAATACATCACTCAACTATGTAATGCTGTCCTTAAACTGGGATTCTTTCCTCCCCAATGGAAGGCGGCCCAAGTTACAATGATTTTAAAGCCTGAAGAAGCAGCAGAAGCAGCAGAAGCAGTTGAATCATATAGACCGATCAGTCTGCTAACTGTTCTATCGAAATTATTTGAAAGGCTGCTGAATCTAAGGCTTCTCCCAATCATCGAGGAACGTAAACTACTTCCCGATCACCATTTCGGTTTCCGTCGCAAGCATGTAATCACCGAGCAAATTCATAGAATTTTCAAAGGAATGAATTGCGATATAGAAGCAGGTAGATACCGCTCTGCGGTCTTTCTCGATGTTTTGCAAACATTTGATAAGGTGTGACACAATGGCCTTTTACACAAAACCAAAAATAAACTACCAACCGACTTACATGTTACAAAACCGTACTTATTACACAGGAAGTTTATAGTTAAACACGGTGATGCTATCACCCAATTACAGGAGATTCAATAGGGAATCCCTCAAAGCAGTGTCCTTGGACCAGTGTTTTACCTAATTTATACAGCAGACCTCCCTGTAATATCAGGAGTCATAACTGCAACTTATGTGGATGATACAGCTATCCTAGCGTCTCATAGCGATCCGACATAGCGTCATCACGCTTATAAGAAAGCCTCACTCACATTCAAAAATGGCTGAAAAAATGGCGTATCAAGGTTAATGAGACCAAGTCAACACATGTAACGTTCAATATTCGTCAAAAAATATGCCCACCAGTAACTCTGAATGGCTTGAAGATCCCTCAGGCTCAGGAGGTCAAATACATTGGTCTATGTCTCGTTCGGAGATTAAACTAGAGAAAGCACATATTCAACAAGCGTAAATAGCTCAGGCATCAGTTCAGCAAACTATACTGGCTGAAGGCTCTAGGTGGAAAATCGCAACTAATAATCGATAACAAGCTTTCATTGTATAAAACCATCCTTAAACCCATTCGGACTTATGGCGTCCAACCATGGGAAACGGCCTCAAATTCTAATGTAGAAATAATACAGCGATTCCAATCCAAATACCTCCGTATATAGTCACCGACGCACCTTGGTACGTTACAAACAAAATTCTATACTATGACCTCAACATACCAATGGTTAAAGACAAAGTAAGAAGACTAAGTCATAAATATAATAGTCATCTGGAGGAACATCCCAACATACTGCAAACCTCATGAGAGAGGCTAATATAGCACACAGACTAAAAAAAAGACAACCACAGGATCTAATCGTTTGATTGATTTGGCACATATTGGGTACATGTCATTGGACACATGCCTTTCTAGACAATAATTAATTGTTCAAAATATTACTAAATGTTGCATTAAGAAACAGCTTATAATAAACTTTGGATGTTATAAAAAAAAAATACTGAATTGATCACAAATATCGTTTTGTGAATATATCTTTTTATTTGAACGTATAACGTAAAAATTCTTCACATGCGTTTTCTCGCTTCTGATGTCATTAAACAAGGAGGACAGTTGCAACGACTATCCAGAAGCCTTAAGCGCGTTAAAATGGAATACTATTAAAAGTGAATGAACTAAATGTCTATCAAATAAAAAAACATGTTTTTTTTGGATACTCATGGCAGTCTGTCTATCAGATAGTGAGTAGCGCTTACAGAGGTGGATTACAATGTTGCAGCAGCAGGATCAGGAAAAGCATGACATTTTTTCATCTAATAATAGTTGTGTTCAGCAGAACATTTCTTTTACAATTGTTGGAAGTTTTCTGTGCTGAAATTGGATTGCTTCTCTAAGATCTAAGTGAATAATTAAATATCAACTTAGAAAACTTACAACAGTTGCAAAATAAACATTCTGCTGAACGTAGCCATTTGGTTCGTTCACTCTAAGCGGTATTCCATTTCGCAATATTTTAACGTGTTTAATATTGTTATCTCTAGTACACTATATTCGACTAATCACAAGCTCCCAAATAAATATCTTCTTTCTTTAGTTTGACAACTAGCAAATGTTTATGTTTTTTATTCTTTTGACATGAACTGCATGCTATATCGTTACTAAGGATGATACAAATAAGGATGGAAATGTTTTGAAAGGTCAAATATATAATATTTTATCATTTAATATTACTCAAAAATTACTTTTTGTATCGCACTAAAACAACTATGTATTGGTTTTTATTAGCTCTTTCCTTGATATTTTTTGTTGTAAATACTCTAAAGAATATTTTTATTAATTTTTATTTAACCTTAGAATAAAATACCTACTTGCTTCCTGTCTGCTGTTGAACGTAAATTTGCTATTATATTTAGGTTCTCTCTCAATTTATTCTCATCTATGTCCTTAGCTGTGTTTAATATTAAACATTGACACACTCTACTCATAACACCACAGTCTTTTAATTGTTGACTTGTTTCATTATGTTTTAGTTTTATAAAATTTTTTCTAATACTGATTGTAGAACATTTGGTTCTTATGTTCTTTAACAGCTGTACTAAAAATTTAATTTATCTTAACAAAAAATTGTATCAAAAGATCCTTGAAATGAAGTTTTATCTTACTTTTCTCTCTGATATTATAATCTAGATCTTCACAGTTTTCTTTAATCAGTGCTATTTGATTTTGTAATGTGTCACTATTAGACCTCAATCGTTTTAAATCCTTTACGGTTGCAATTGTGAAATCATCCAATCTATGCCGTAGCTTGTACAGTAAAATGTTCTTCCTTATTTTTTGTATTTCAGCCATAGGAAGTATGGAAGGAGAAATATCTTCCCATAGGAGCTCCAGTACTCCTTTGCATAATCTGTTAGAAATAAGAGATTGAATATAACAATAATAACAAGAGTGCTCGTATAAACAGATAAAAATATTAAACCTTTTTTGTACTGAATTGTTGTATATTGCTAGTGGACAATAAAGTTGGCGGGTCCATGCAAAACTATCTATAACCTCATCCATACCTAATTTGTCCCTTATACTACAAAGTTGTAAATCTAAGTTAAAAAATCACAATCTATAACGAAATTATAATTTTATAAATATTTTGTAAATGTATATTTTATATATTTTTGTATATTTTATAAATATTTTTATGTATAAATATATATTACATATATACACTTCTGCACTTTACTATTGTATTCAATAACATCAAGTAACGGTTACAAGGTAATTATTTGCTCATAATATTTTATGGATATTAAATTCCTTTTATCGCAATATTAAACGTATATTTTAGACTGTATTCCGTTATAAACACGCAACGCTCAAATCACCTTACCAACTGTTCCAATAGACGCCTGCAGGGTTCACCGCGTACTGATGTACCTAGCTTTATAATTAGTTTCCTGAAGCCCGTATCAGGCTACGAATTGAGGATTGAGATTTATATTGAATTTGACCAATCAGTACAAAATAAACCGAACTCAAGTTTAATGTAATTTAGTGAACTTTGTATTGATTGGTCAAATTTCTATTCAATCTCAATGTTTAATCCATAGTCTGATACGGGCGTTAAGGTAAAATTTCATAGCAGAATCGAGCGCATAGATATATCATAACTAGACAGTGCATTCAGCCGAAACGTCGTTAAATGCTAGAGAGAGATAGTTACAGTAAAGGTATGTAACCATAGAGATATAAGACTAGAGGGAACAAGGGATATATGCTACCTGTAAGTGGAAGTGATAGAGATGAAAAGAGAGATGGATGCCGAGTGTCCTATCTGTCTCTTTCTAGTCGAGTGTTGTGATTGGTTGTTACAATGAGTCTCCAAGCGACCACGCGACGTCAGGAGGGGAGAAAGCAGACTAAAATTTCGTNCCTCTCAATACGATAAGGCATCCCGTTGCTAACATTAACAGGAGCAAGAAACCTGAATCCAAACACCACTCAGGACCGACGCGGCGATATCGACGCGGTGACATCATACTGATAGAATGAATTTCTTCCATCTCCACGACTCCATTAGCCAACCAGAAAACGACTCTCAGCGACAAAGCAACGTATAAAAACGCGCGTATTCGTTGAGAAGGCGATTCTTTTCTCGTAATTAGCTTTTGGTATTTGTGTACTTATATACTTTGGAATATATTAGTCGTAAAATCCGACTGTGTAGCAATTATTTTTGTCTACCCCTTATTTCTCGAACGTTGCGAAATCGAAATTGGAATCGCGGGCCGCATCATCCCGCGCAGCGCCGGAACATCCGAGACCGAGCCAGGAGAACGAGCGGCTCTGATTTCTCACCAGATTCATCGGTCGTTTCGCCAGACTCCGGAGATGCAGGGTAAACTCGGTGAAAAGCAGAGTGACTTAAAAGCGGAGTCATCACTCTGTTGACCGTCCACTCAAGTCACTGATTTTACTACTTTCAAATTTCCCTATATAGTTATCTATCGTGGACGTAACAAGGTACCATTCTGTCATCGTCTGATAATGTGTGGAGTCGGAAACCAACTCCACTATAAAGGTTTCTTTACTACGCTTTTATAGAGAAAACGGAATGGTACCTATACAACAACTATCTTTTTTTACTTTTTGACGGTTTCAAATAATGGGAGACGTTGAGACCGCCTGGCCTAGTTATTATACGTATGTAAATATATAATAGAATATCTGCTGATTGGGTCGATGTTTGAATCTTGTCTGCTGATTGGCTCCGACGCTCGACGCCACCATGAAATTGTACTCTCTTAAAGCTCTTAAAGCCCTTATCAGACTATGGATTGAAGAACCAGAATGAATTTAAAGTTGACCAATCAGTGCAAAGTTCACTAAATTTCACTAAATGTGAGTTCAGTTAACTTTATATCGATTGGCCAAATTTAATTTAATCTAAATCCCCTATCCATAGTCTGATACGGTCTTAACACACATGCTGAGGAGATGGGTGCGAGTGTTTGATGAATTTTACTCAGAATTTGCAATTTATATAAATTCATTAAATTACTCAAAGATAAAGATAATATCTAACTTAGAAGGATTCTTAAATGCATAGTATATAATGATAAACTACTAATATATGCATAATCTTATATTTTTGGAAGTAAACTGTGTTTCTGTTTTTCATTTGTTGATGTACGTTCTTCTTATCCCTCGGCAGAAGTTAAGTCATTATCATTAACCTGATCATCAAGTTTTCATTACTTGTATTATAAAATAATTTGAACATATCTAAGTAATGAAACACTCACGACAGTATCAGGATGGCTTCCCATTTGGAGTAATTTGTTTAAGCGTAACTTGCGTCAGCTAATCAAATCGTCTCAATTATCACACAAAAATCCGTCTAGTTATTTGACACATTTTAAGCTATTGCCCATACGCCAAATCCAATAGTCGCGTAAACTGGTAATGCATGTGCATTAGTGACATGTGTGCATTTGCAGACGGTGACAATTTTTCGGTTTTTTGAAAAAAACAAAAAATTCAGATTACAAATTTTTTAAAGAAATATTATATAAAATTTCTAAAAATAACCCATTCAATACTTGAATGTAATTCCACACATCACTTGCACAGTATAACAAAGTAATTTCAAGATTATGCCAGATAATTATAGCATTATCTATCATTTGTATTTCTTGGCTAGTTTTAATAGTTTGCTACGGTTTATATATTTTAACTTACATATTTTATTTTTTTAATATAACACAAATATGGATATTGCGGATGATTCTTCAGTTTTAATATAAACTTTGTTGATTACGGCTACACACATTGCGCTTTCACACATTCTTACGTACAAGTATGCAATCCCCATGGTACGTATTTAACCAAATATAAATAATAACAGCCAATCGAGAACCCATTTAGTGTTTCTGCTCTATTGAACAACAGAAGGCCTGATCTGTTATTGGCTACTCTTTACGCGAATTTAATGAAATACGCATCATGTGAATGCCAATTTTTAGAATGGCGTTTTCTAATAAATTTCTATTAAATTACTAGACCAGATTACGTTTAAACCCGTAACAGACTACAGATTGAGGATAGAGATTTAATTAAATTAGACCAATCAGTGCAAAGTTGACTGAACTCAAATTTAATGAAATTGAATGAACTTTGCACTGATTGATCAAATTTCAATCTCAATCTTCAATCCATAGTCTGATACTGACTGCATGGCGTTTTCGATTTGTTGACTCTACCTAACTTGGACAGCACTCCAGTCATTGAACTAAGGAACATACTAGAATGAGCACTGCCTTTAGGTCTGTTCGTTTTCGCTGCACCGCTGAACTAGTGCAATAAGTTGTAATGAGAAAACATATACTTGTCTTGCTTCAACTTATTGCACTAGTTCAGCGGTAGAGCGGAAACGAACAGACCTTTTGTTCCTGGCAGATGACCTCGTGCCAAGGAAAAAAGTATCAAAGTAATATTTTCGTTTCTGCCTGTATGTATGACTTTATCTTAACGACAAAGGTCACGTCTAAGTAGTATCTCGTTCTCTGTTTTATTAACATGCTATAGTGTCAATATAGGTTAAAGCCAACGACACACGATGCTTGTTTTCGTGCTGAATTGTTTATTAGATAGAAATACTGCGTTTTGATTGGTGTATCATCCATTTTTGGAAATGCACCAATCAGAACGCAGTATTTCTATTTAGCATGTAATCCAGCACGAAACAAGCATCACGTGCCGCTGGCTTTAAGAAAACGCTATCAAATGCAAGCTCCGTGAACAACAGTAGCGTTAGCATTGGTAGCGTAATAATGTGTTCTTCGAATGCACCCTTAACCAACAATAAAGTAACATGAAGTAAAATATAAGAAATTTATTACTAAGTACGGTAGCATTAATAGTACGTGAATTGGATTCTTCATCAGCATTAGAAAGCGATGATGAAGAATTAGAAATATTGTCCACAAAGAAACGAAGAGAAATATTTATTGTTCAAAATTACGTAGAGCACATAGTATCAGCATTAACAGATGAAGAGTTTAAAGCTTATTTAAAGTATTATTTAACAATAATTATTTTACAGAAAATATTGACCATCTCTGTGGAAATGGAGAAATACTGCATTTAAGATATATTTATTAAAGAATTTAAATAAGGCTCTCCCTCTCCCCCCTCATTCTCTTTTATCAGAGATCAAATGTATGAAAAACTACCCCTGAGAAAAGTGTAATATACTAATACAATATAACTAATACTATTCTACATAGCTAATATTATGTTCATAAAAACTCAGTATGTTGTATCATAAGTGTTTTGTAATGTATTTCTTTATGAAAGTATACATATATAGTAAAAGATGAACAATAAAAAAAACTCTATATTTTTTCACTTCCATATCTTTTCTAATCTTATCCAGTTTATTTAATATTTGTACTTTTCATTCCATCCTTTCTTAACCATATCTTTTCTAATATCTAGTTTATTTAATAATTGCATTTTTTATTCCATCCTTTCTTTATGTCTCCTCTCTCTTTCCGCCTCTGCTATCTCGTGACTCTCTATAATTGCTTTTGCAATGCCATTGGTTTTACGTTTACCTGAAAATACATACACTTCGTAAAAAATACCGTTTAAAGACTTGTACTCACTATTCTAGGACTCTGTTCAAATTTTCCATCAGAGTTTAGTGTTGTGAACACAAGACGTACTTTGATCAAGTATGAGTATGATGAATTACGTGAGAATTTGCCTTTATCATTCAACACTTTAAAGGAGCTGTTGTTGGAGGAATCATTGGAGTTGCTGCTGAAACTTTCGACACCAGTTGATGGTGCAGTTGATGGAGGCGCTATTTATGGCTTCCTACCAAGAAAATTATCCATGATCTATTAAATATATAATTCTATCCATGAAACAGTTAAAATAACATTAAGGCCGATATTCATACTCGTATCTCATATGTAAGACCGTCTTAAGTTCATCTTCAGGTGCTCTATGGTTCATTTTATTGACTACGAAACATCTGAAGATGAATTTAACACTTTTGCTGCCGATCCCGCGCCAGTGCGTGGTATGGCGTCAATGATACAGAGCCAATCACGCGCTAGCGCGGGTTGTGAGATGATATATCAGTAGCCAGTCACTCGTTCGGCGGGGTACTAACTATCAACACATCCTCACGTGACCGGCAGCTAACGTGTTAATCTATTTGTGAAAACAGGTAATTTAGATAATATAGGTCTTGTCAGTTGTTGTTGGACTGACCGGAATTAAGAGATATGTTCTTTTTTTTTAAGAATTTGGGAGAGATGATGAAATGTGGTTTCACAGTATATTTTTTGGACTTTAGGCGCACAAGAATTGCATTAACTGAAATACCCCCAATGTATATCATTGCGATGGATGCAAATCAATAAATAGTTGTCTATTTTCTCAAGATATTCTATGCAAAATTTTTATTATATCTCCTCTTTAATATTGGGTTAGGAAAAAAAATCCTTTCACAAATTAGAAAATAATCGAAACGTATTTTTTAAATTGTTTACAACCCATTTATTAAACCAAGTATGTGCCGTTTTGATCGATGATTTTTTGCTATTTCTCGGGTAAAACTATTATTCCATCGGTGTAGAACTTCTGACATTTCTTGGCAAAAACCGAGACAAGTGATTTTCGCAGACCTCTTTTGAAGTCAAGTTTACTCTATTAAGGGAGTTCTGCAAAGACTGAAATAAATGGTAGTCTGACGCTGAAAAGCCAGGACTACACGATGAATGCATCAATACTTTCCAGCTAAGCTTTCTCAATTTTTGCCGAATCGTGAAAGATGTGTGTGATCTGATGTTGTCATTATGGAAGACAACGCGCTTTCAATTCTGGTCGCTTTTCTTCAATCGATCGCTTTAATCGCATTAGTTGTTGAGAGTATAGATCAGAATCAATCGTTTTCTCTGGCGTCAACAGATTATAGTGAAGGATTCCCTTCCAATCCCATCAGACATACAGTATTACCTTTTTTGATGCCAATCCGGGCTTTGCGATCTTTTGTAGTGCCTCACCTTGCTTCAACCACGATATTTTTGGAACATTATTGTCGCATGTTATTCACTTTTCATTGCCCGCTATCAATCTTTCCGGAAATGGCTCAATTTCGTTTCGTTTCAGCATCGATTTGCAAATAGGAATTCGGCCCATTAAATTATTTAACATCAAATTATGTGGCACCCAAATATCGAGCTTCTTTATACACTACTGTCTATAAGTATTTGCCCACCTATTAATTTCAAGGTTTTTAAAAAAATATAATGTGAATGAATTATGTGAACAAAATATATGTGAAAACAATTAAGAACAGTATGAAAGAAACAATTTACAAGAGAAAACAATTAAAGTTTTGACTCATCGATATGGCTACTCCGCTTTTGAATAACAGTTTAACAAAGTTTAAGCAATCTTTTAATGAGTTTATTTAGCGTTTTTGTTGTAATTTTTTCCATTCCTTTTGTAAAACTTTCCAGAGGTGTTCAAAAGAAGTTGAACATATTTTTTTGATATTTCTGTTAAGCTTGTCCCACAATAGCTCAATTGGATTGAGGTCTGGTGACTGCGGTGGCCAAATCATTACTTCTAGTTTTCCTTCCTTTGTCAATTTTTCCAAATACTCTTTGCAGATTTTAGAAGAGTGTTTTGGATTATTGTCGTGCTGGAATATAAATTTGCCAAAAATACGCATCCCAGACGGCAACATTTCATTCCCAAGAATATTGAGGTATTACTCTTTTTTCATTATTCCTTGAACTGTACAGATGTTTCCGATCTTGTTGCCGCCAAAGCATCCCCAAACCATCACAGAGCTTCCACTATGCTTGACAGAGGGAATTAAACATGCGTCGGACATGCGCTCAGCTGGTGATCTACGAACGAAGATTCTTAGCTTTGAACCGAGAACCTCAAATTTTGACTCATCGCTCCGAAGGACAGATTCGCAGTTTTCACTTGTCTAGTTTTTGTATTTTTTAGCCTATTCCAATCGTTTCTTTTTTTTATTAATGGCTTTTAAGAGTGGTTTCCTAACCGCTACTCGACCATAATGTCCAGCCTCTGCAAGTTTGCGTTTTACTAGTTATGCTGATGGGGTTAGCTTGATTCAAGTTCATCTGCGAAGTGATTTCTGCAGCGATAAGGCGTCTGTTGCGTTTGCTGGTAATTACCATGTTTCTGTCCTCTGCTAATGTCGTAATCAGAAGCTTTCCAGTACGTTTACTGTTGGTTAAACTATCGCCGTTTTTATATTTCTGGATGGAACAATCAACAGTTCGCCTTGGAATGTTCATTTCAACCGAAATTTTCAGTTAGATTTGCCAATTTAGTGGTGCGCGATAATCAAAGAACGCGCACTTCAAGAGAGAATTCTTTTGATTTCGGTATTGTTCAAATTTTTTTAACAATACTCACACGGACAGCTCGTTATAATAAATGGATGTTTGTTCTTCAAGGTTTGGAAGGAAACTAGATATTCGAGGACAGAAAGTGACAGCTAATCCCATTTCAATTATATAAGAGTAAACAGAGACAACATTCATATCATAAGAAAAAACATTCATATCACAAGAAAAACGTAAACAAAGGTGACAGTCTAAACTCTGGAAACATGCTAATCAGCGTAAGTATATCGACGTGCGAAAAACATCACTTTCAGTTTGATTATTTCCTTTATTATCTGACATTTGACATTTAAAAAGTAAGCAAAGCAATTACATTTATTAAAATTGACGAATTTTTTGACATAAACAATTGGGGTGGGCAAATATTTATGAACGGTAGTGTATATCCAGCCTTTATGCAAATGTTCCAAAACGATATTATGATCGATGTCTAGCTCTTTAGCTATGTAGCAGCTCTAGCTGCTTACATGATGATTTGCCTCAATTTTTTGAAAAATTTCATTGACATTTTCCACAATAGGCCAACTGCAACGATATGCACCTTTGACGTCAATGTTTCTAATTCAAAGTTTCCATTTCAAAATCAGCAAAACCAGTTCGTTACTCTTCGTCTTGTTCAAGCATTCTCTCCATCAATTCAAATTTTTTCTTTGCTTTGTACAGGATTTTTCCCCTTTTTATAATAAAAAAGTAAAATGTGTCGAAAATATTCCCGATTTTCAAATTTGATTGAATGTAATAATATTGTTCAAATTTAAAATGAATTTACTTTAAAATGTTCTATAAAATGGTATCTTTCCAACGATATAAAACCTAATCATAAAATAGCGCCATGTCAAAAATCGACTAGACATCGGCAATTTGTAAAAACTTTTTCCCTAACCAAATATACATATTCAATTTTCAGTAAAATGTGTATTTACTCTGATTTTACACACTATGAACATTGCTGACTAGCATTACTCTGAGGTCAAGATAATCCCAGATAAATTATATTTTCCACTTCTTTATTTGTCTCCTTGATATATATTTTTAGAATTTTTTTATAAGTCTATATTATAATAGGTTGTCCGAAAAATCCGTGCGAATTTCTCGGTAGATGACGTCCCCGTGCATTAAGTTCACCGTCGGATCCAGGAAGTGCGTTATAGGCGCACGTATGAATACTTTTCAGCGTTCAATGGGGCTTAAAGCCGAAAATGTGTCGGAGACGACTCATCGCTCTAAATTTAAGTCCTCTTCTGTGTGAATTTAGTCAGTGCGTCTCGGCAGTAGACAAAGTATTGTTCGACTGTAGGTGAGTTTCCCCCTGTAACTCGCAGGCGTACGGAGAGACGGATATTGCCGTTCCCAAAGGTGATGTTCACTGCAGACCTGTCGAGTTACGCTCGACACTGAATTAATCGGCGATCGTAAGGATTAATTTGTTTGTCGGAGGATCTCCGCTGATTTATCTTACAGTCCTGTGACTAAAAGACCCTGCGGCGCACACGGCTATGAATTCGGAACGATGTTCCGACACCAGGAAAACACTAAGGCACAAAAGGCAAAACTACCCCCCTAAGATGATCGTACAACCCCAAGGAATCCAAAAGAACCCAACAGAACTAAAAATGCACGCGAAGAATACGATTACCGTAGTGCTATGGCAGACGAAAGTGGTATGTCGCGCTCTCTCCTGCGAAACGCTCTCTTATAGTCACCGCGAGTTACGGCGGCGAGAATCCGGCGCGTGAGACTTCCTCGCCTGGCGCGTGGCAGCCCGGGCGCTTTGGTCGTTTCATTGCAGCAAGACTCGATTAATCTGCAACACTTGGCATGATTTGAAAATGGGAGGAAATAACTTGTTTTTTCGATGCATAATGCTTCTTTATTTCCATAAAAGTAGGTATATAAGATTGGTTTTAACTCAGGGTCTTCAAAACAGGTGCGGGAGAAGGGTAACTTATAGGCGTACAGAGATTGATGTCATGCAGGAGAGGGAAGAACTTGTAGGCACAGGAGGCTAATATTACACGAGGGAAGGCGGGTACCGCAAAGTGCGTGGGCTAATGTCACGCGGGAAAGGGAGAACATGTGGGAATATAAAACTGACATCACGCAGGGGAGAGAGCTAACGTTACACGTTGGGACTGACATCATTTTATTACCGGTACCCGACCGTCGGTATCTCTTCCAACGGCCGGATACCACTCTGCATATCCTTCCAGTAACCAACAGCACCTGTTCGTTTCCCACCTGTGTCGGCCTACGTTCACATGCCCACGACGATTCACGTTTCGCGATTGCGGCGATCCGCACTCACCCCCACCCGCATTCACGATGGTCTGCGCTCACTCATTCTCATATAAATAAACGATGTCCCGCGTAGTAAAAACGGTTGATAAACGGTAAAAAAATGGTTGATAGACGATAAATATACGGCAAAGAAACATAAAAAACGGTAAATAAACAGTTGACAAATAGTAAATAAACGGTTGACGAATGGTAAACATGCTTTTGAAAGTATTTATCGTTTTACGTACGTTTTACGACTGTTTATATTATATATTTAAACGTTTTTTAATGTTTCACATATGTTTTACACATCTTTATAATACAGCTTATGAAAAGTCTTATAATTCTATAAGCTTTATAATTCTTTTTATAAATTGGTAACGTCTTTCAGTCGACAGACAGTGTACTTTTTGTCTGGACCTTACGGTTGCTATTTAATCTGCCTACACTGGAGTTTCCCTTTTTGATTATTACGGATCGATGGTCAGCTAAAATGTGTACGTGAGTGTGTATATGTATGTTTCTTATCATAAGGTGCTGCCTACAGCACCAGTTCGCCTTCATTAATTTTTTTACATGGGGAAAAGTCCCGTGGGGAAAATTCATCATGGATATCCGCGGAAATCGGGGAAGCTCCGCAGGTAATGCCGGATTCTTACCGACTAAAAACGCCACGGTTGGCTTTCACTGCAACTTCATGAAGGCGCCCCGGGCAGAGCTTGTAGCATTCTTCCTGGGAACCCTCATCGCATCTGTATTTTTATTGATCGGGGGGATTTTACTTTACCTCCGGTCTTTCCTTTTTGTGACGGGAAGCGGCCCTCCGCCATGCCCCCCTCGTGAGATTGGAGCTCGGGAACTCCGAATCCCCTTGTCTGGAGGCCCGCCAACCAAAAACTCGGTCAGTGGGCCTTAATAGATCTTACGCTCCGGGGAGGATTGTAAAGGGAACAAAGATTCGCCTCCGTAGTCTCCCCAGGGTCCCGTATAGAGACGCCCAGGGGACTGTGTGTGCGGTTTTTTTTCCACTCTGGACCGAAGACCTTTCTCGTCCGGTGGCGAGGACCATGTTTGTCCCCGCCGCCGGTATAGTCATCCGTCCAAGACCGGAGGGTGTCCATGGTCGTAGAGGAGAATGGCAACCTCCTCCGTACGGCTCCCCTCGGTTTGCTTGGCCGGACTATTTACTCTCTCCCTAAAAGGGGGGAGGGTTCAAAGTAGTTTTGGAATAACTTATCGCACACGTCGGACCTCAATCTCTCTGTCTCCTCCCGCGGTTTTATTATATGTGCCGTGGAAGAGAACGCATTCTATCTGAAGGAGGAGGAGGGCAGTTGAATCTTACCCCCTCCATTTTCCACAGGAATTCATCTACTGCGCCCGGGACGGAAATGATTTATCCATCCTGGACCGGGAACCCATCTCGGCTGGGCCTTAGGTTTGGGAAGTCACTGTCCCGATCAGTGCCCCGCCTTAACGGGGGAGTGCGGCGCCTCCTCCTGGAGGCGGACAATCCATTCCTTCGGCGAGGCGTTATCCTCTCCTTTTCTTGTTGGCAGAGAGGGGAGACCCCCAGTCTTCTCTTTCTTCTTCTAGGTGGGTCCCCTCCCCCTCCCTCCCACTCTGTTTTCCTCGGTCAGGTAGAGGCTTGATCTCCTCCTTCCTGTACCTCTCGGCCTCCTCCTTCAGCGTTATAACTTCCTCACGAAAGGAGAAGACTGCCATCTAGTTCCTCTCGCTCACGCATTGCGCGAACTAAGCTCACGAGCAATAGATCCCCTCCACCTCTGCGACCAGGGTTGCGCATTCCGCTGCCCACGTTGGGAAAAATTCCAGTTTATATTTCAGAGTCCCAGTCGGCCGCGTAGTTATGGCAAGCTACCGTGCACTCCTTCCTGATTAACACAGATAGTCACCAAAGCAACCGTGCCCGGTTAATATCTGCGTTAATCTATAGGTCAGCCCGCCGTAGCCTTTGTCTAGCTATTCTTTCAGACAGGCCCAATGGCGTCGATGGTCCGACGGCCCGGAGTTTACAGGTCATCCAACTGAAGCTTTCAGCGCAGGACGATCCGCTGCCGAATCAGCTTTCTCACGACAGCCCTCGCGGTGAGGTTTCCTTCTTCATTTCCACGAAGTTCCCTAATGCGCTTATATCTTCCGGTGCATTTGTGCGAGGAGCTCCGCGGGCACTATACCCGCAAGAAACGTAGCAGCCGCTTAAGTCACGATCTGTGGTTCCCTGGCGAGGCAGATGGCCATCTAGCGCTGCGATTGTTGATTGTCTTGATACGCCGGTCGGCCATCGCTTCACCGACCCGAACAGAGGCCCTATAAAAGATTATGGAATGGACCGTGTGCACATAGAGTCGCCGCACTCTCGTATTCGGACCGTCGAGATTGAGCGGAAAGTTACCTAATGCGTTGGCCGTCCCGTTCATCCTGTGAATTACGGCCTCAAAATGAAGTTTAAACCTCCAGATGCCATCCAAGATGAGGCCCAGGTATTTCATGATGGATCCCATCGCAATGTTCACTTCCATCTGCGGCGATCCGCACGCGCTCGTCCGCTATGTTTGCGACCGCGTTTACGGTGGTCCGTTTTTGCCTCCTCCTGCGTAAGTTAATGGAATCTCACATGATTAAAATGCCTGAAAACGGCTATCAAACGATAACTAAAAAGCAAAAAACGGTGAATAATCAACTCACGAACAGGAAAAACGGTAAATGAACGGCTAATAAACGATAAAATAATGTTAACTAAAATAAAAAAAGGTAAATAACGGTAAATAAATAGTAAAAAAATTGGACAAACGGTAACCACGTTTTTGAGCGTTCTGCGAACGCTTATAATAAGTTTTTGAGTTTCCAACATTTTGCATATGAACGTTTATAATATAACTTATAAAACATTTTATATATTATGAAACATGTTATTAAACATTTATGAAACATCTTATATAAGATGTTACTAGTTTAACGGCTTTTCGCTTTATACTGGGTCCGTCACCAAATCCGAACAAATTTAAATTTGAATTTCCCGCCTCATTTGACTTCGGCGGTAGGTCGTTGTTGACGTTCAGGCAAGTCAGATGTTTGTAGTAAGCGCGTATAACCTCAAAATATCGGAGTAGATAAAATCGAGTGCGAAGTATAACCAAAGATCGACGATAATCGAAAGGCTTCGCGCTGGATGTTCGCAGACCAAAATTATTTGATGTTTCGGGTATCCGAGATCGATCGTATATGATGTTGCGGCTAAATATTTGCTTTCAGAGACTTCCAAAAAAGGTTCTACCAACCCGACGAGAAAGAGACATTCGAAAGAAAAGTCGGTATAAACTCTAGCAATTATCGAAAGGACTCGAGAGCTCATCTCAGAGGACGCAGGGCTGTCTCTGACGAAATTGGCAAGAATATTCGGTATGAGTGACACTATAATGCGTCGTATTGCTGAAGAAAACCTACACTTCAAGTCCTATGTAAAAGTTCAACAAATGTTCTCCGAGGCTGCCAAGATGAATGTAGACATATTATGTTCCAAGGATTTCTGGCCACCGAACTGTCCAGATATAAATCCGTTAGATTACTATGTGTGGAGCGTCATTGAATGAGTGACCAACAAGTCAAGACATCCCAACGTGACATCTCTCCAGGCTGCTATCGAGACGGCATTCGCTAATATAGACAAGGACGCGTTGCGGAGAGCATGCCAGCGCTTCAGGACGAGAATCGAAGCAGTCATTGAAGCAAAAGGGATTTGTATGATATAAATTTACTCTATAAGGATACTACTTGTGGTATACAAAATTTTTCTGTAATTTTTATATCTTCACAAATAGAATTTTATTTAAACAAATTGTTCATTTTGTTCGGATTTTGATGGCGGACACTGTATTAAGGATATACAAAAGTTTCCGCCGCCACCGGTACACGTCGCTATAGTCGTCTAATCGACCGGCTACCTGTGCGATTATTTCATTCGTGAAGCCAAGTATGGCGGTCGATAAAGTTCATGTGCCCCACTGTTAGTTATTCATGTTTAATTGAGGAAAAAGTGCAAATGAATCATATGGTTCAACATATCAAGTGTATGGCGATATGGTTGTTGGTGAGCAAACCTGTCGAGAATGGTTTGCTAGGTTTGCCAGGTTTAAGAAAGTTGATCGAAGCTCAGAAGACAAACCAGGCGTTAGTAGACCAAAGGAATTCGCAGACAAGGAATTGGAATCGCTATTGCAAGAGGATGCCACACAATCGACCACGCAACTGGCAAAATGTTTAAAAGTGGATCATTCGACGGTGGTATGACGTCTACAGGCTTTAGAGAAAATCCAGAAGATTGGTAAATGGATTTCGCACACTTCAACGGAGCGTAATATTGGTCAACGATTGGGCATATGTATATCGTTGCTGCAACGGTTTTAACAGAAGAATTTCTTGTGGGAAGTGGTAACCAGCGATGAGAAATGGATCTATTGTGACAGTCCAGTACGTAAGCGCTCCTGTGTCAACCCAGGCTAGCCATCAACATCCTCTGCAAAATTCTGTAGGATATTCACGGGAAAAAGTGCTGTTGTGTGTGTGGTGGGATATGTATGGAGTGTTGTATTTCGAATTGTTGAAACCGGGGAAACAATCACTGCACAATGGTACAACACTCAGTTGACGAAACTCAACGCCGAAATTGAGCGAAAACGCCGATGGACTGGTAAAAGACGCCGCCCAATTATCCTGTTACACAACAATGCCAGACCTCATATCGGTGCAACAATAAAATTAACTTTTGAACACATAAAGTGGGAGTTTTTTCCACACCCGGCTTACTCCCCAGACTTAGCACTCCCCGATTTTCATTTGTTCTGCTCTATGCAACATTTTCTATCCCAACAATGGTTCACCACAGTTGTAGATGTTGAAAAATTTATCGATACGTTTTTTAAGTCAAAACCCGAGTTTTTTTATTACAGAAGCAAAAAGTCGTTGATGTTAACGGGCAATATTTCATTGAATAAATGTGTTCTAGTTTACGAGTTACTACTCGTTACTATCTTCTTTCTCCTTCAAACGGCGGAAACTTTTGTATACCCCTTATATGTGTTTTATGTATACATGGAAAGGAAATGAAAACTTGGTATTTTATACTCCTCAATACAATAAAGTAATCTCAATTATATTAAAGTATATTTCCTGCAATATCAATTTTCATTTGTTTACAGCTTTATACATAATATCAAAACATGCCAACATCTCATAATGGATAATCGACTCACCATCCCCTGGTAATCTGCCCTCACGCGCGATGATTTGCACTCGATCGCCCGTGTCTGCGTTTGTGATACTTGCTTCCATCCGTGTTCGCGGTGGTCTATGCTCGCCCCTTCCCGCGCAAATTAACAGGTAATAAACGGGGCTCCGCACTGTAAAACAGCTACCAAATGATAAAAACGGCTCTCAAACTTCAAGGAAACAGTAAAAAAAGTGAAAAACGATTTTAAAAAACGATAAATGGCTGGCAAACGGTAAAAACGGTAAAAAAACGTCTAACAAACGATGAAAAACACTAAATAAACGTCTGACAAATGACTGATAAACGATAAGAAGCGATAAATAAACGTTTGTCGAGCGGTAACCAGTTTTAAGTGTTTTTTAACGTTTTATGAACGTTTTATGAACGTTAATGATAACTTATGAAACGTCTCGCATATGTTTATATAATATAATTCTGCTTATAAATTAGTAACGTCTCTTCTTTTTTGTTTAGTAAACGGCGTACTTGTTTGGACCTACGGTTAATATGTTAGCTAACAAGTTGGAGTACACTTTTTCTTGATTATGCGGTTCCTAGCGAGGGTTCCTAGAAAGGTTTCCAAGAGTTTCTACCGTTTTAATCAACGGATACGTTTGGCGGAGCATCATTAAAATCCCGAAAGTCTGTTTGCGGGCACGTATCATTGAATATATATTGTTACGTTGTGACGATGCAAAATTTTGCTCGTTACTCAGGTCTGTGGCCTGGTCGAGGAGGAGCCGGAAACTCGCGCTTCCTCGATCGAATAAATTGATTTTTGTTTCGAGCGCCGTTTTGCGCACAAGACGCGACCCGCGGCGAGTATATATCTTTTTTTTAAATGTAAGATCACCCCCCCCCCCAAATAAGCCAGAAAACCGGACCAAAAAAAACGGAAAAGAATCGGGAGGCCCCGAGGGCGAAAGAGGGCGAGGATGCTGAAGGGGCGGCTAAAGCGACACGTGGAAGGACGGGGAGATCTTCGCTCAGACGGACGGTTGGTGACAAATAGCGGGATAGCCACCTTACGCTAAGAAAGGCGCAAGGCCCCGCGACCCGGTCGCAGAGCAGGCAGGAGAGGATCCCGCGGAAAGCGCGCCCGGAAGCTTGTGAACTGCGCCCAATAGTTGCTGAAAGTCGTCCCGGGGAGAAAACAAAAGCAAGCGTCGAAGTAACGACACCAGACGTGAGGCTCCCGTGAGCACTCTTGACACGCGTGATCTAGCTAGGAGAACCAATCGGATGCCGCACCGATCGGCGTGACAGATCCTTGCGACGGCTGCCTCCTGTGCTGAGTGAAGAGCCCCGCTCGTCACTGTGCGGCCCGACGGCGAGAAAGCGAGATGTTCCAGCGCGATAACGAACGAGCGAAGTTGCTGTACTAGAGGGACGAAATCCCGAGGAAGAGATGCGAGCTTCTGGTGGCGAGTGGGTGAGCGAAAGCTATGTACAGCCGCGAGTTAAAATAAATAAAGTTGCGGAAGGATTCCGAGTCGGTTGCCGTTGCTTCTCGGCGGCATAGGCGCGATAAGGGGACCGGGAATTCGAACTCTTTAGAGGTCCATGGTGCCCGGACGGTGGGTCGCACGGACTTACGAGATTTGGAGGCCACGTCACTGGGCGACAAAAGCCGTGCTCGAGAGAATCTCGAGCGTAGGGATCCCGGAGATTCGGGCGCGAGACTCGGTTGCCTTCTCCATTCGCCGGTCGCACAGTCATCGTAAAGTAAATGTCGAGAACGCATATATCGGAGCAAGCGCGACATTATTGAGTAGAAAAATTGCTTTTAGAAAACTGCTTTAGGCGAGCGAGTTAAGTCGGAAAATACAAGATCGGCCAGAAGCAGTAACTATTGTCGGGAAAGACTAGGCTGGCGCCCAACGGAAAATACGACGAGATTCGCGTAACGACGCCGGGCAAGAGAGCGTTTCGGTTAAACGACACGCGTTATTACAGCTGCCGTCAAGTGGCTCAGATCCGCCGTAAACAACAGCTCGCGGAACATCACAGGCGAGATATCACTCTCTTTTGATCTCGTTACGAAATATCCCGTGGTATTGAATTTAGTCGTCTGTACGTGAAGAACTCAGGCGAATTAACGAGTTGCTATTCCTATGCCACATTCATCATAATTTATTATTTGTAGAATTGAGTAATTGCCTGCCATTGGAAATAAATCGAATTAAAGTATTGTTATCTAAATGTTAAGCGGGTCTCTAATTTATTATCTCTCCCGGCGCTTCTCCGACATGTCCGCGGTATCGAGAAAGAACGTGTAAGAACCACAACGCTCTACCACGCGGAACAGCAAGGGATTTGACTCGCTCTTAGAAAAATAAAAACTGAGCTAACTAGGGAAGGCCGCTGCCGCACGAAGGCGGGAGCGAAGAAGTCCTGCAACCGACGTGGACAAAATTGCGGTGACAACGTACACGAAACTTTACACATCAATTGGCATACGAGGGGGGACCCAAAAAAACCGGATTTTTTTTATAAAAACTTTATTTATTAACTTTTTTACAAAATTCCTTCAGTCACCTTTAAAGTACTCTCCATTAGATGCGATGCACTTGTCAAGTCTTTTTTCCCACTGTTTGAAGCATCTCTGGAACTCTTCAACTTTGATATCGTACAGTGCCCTTTGCGAAGCTGTTTTTACCGCCTCCACATCATCAAAACGCTTCCCTTTTCACCAAAGTTATTACAGATGATGAGAGTTGGTGTTACAGGTATGACCCAGAAACTAAGCAAGCGTCAAGCCAGTAGAAGACTCCCAACTCTCCCAGCACCATCTATAGGGAAATTCCGGTTTCATATTTATACACTTGGTAAACGTTTACTAACGGTTGACTCATTGACATTTAGTGTTTCCGACAACTCTTTGAGTGTCTGACATGAATCTTTTTCCAGTAATACTTCCAATTCTCCATCTTCAAACTTTTTCGGCTGACTAGGGCGTTCTTTGTCATTCACGTCAAAATCGCTGTCTTCGAATCATCTAAACCAATCTCTGCAAATTGTTTCAGGTAGAGCATGCTCCTCATAAGCTTCCACTAACAAACGATGACTTTCGACAGCAAATTTCTTGAGATGAAAGCAGAAAAATAATGTTTCTCACAAATGTTCTTTTTTTGGTACGAAACCCGACATCTTCAATACAATATATTAGGCGAACAACTTTGCTCAAGCCCTTTCCCTATAGATGGCTTTAGTGGAACTTAGTGGTCAAAGTAAATAGATCATATACGTCATACAATCAACTACAGCATCTGTCAACATAACCTAATAGTTACATTAGTCGATTTGTATCTGTACCATAAAGTTATCGTCGATTGAAGATGTCAGTTTACGAGCCGAATTCTCGTCATTTGCGGGAGGTTTTACTTTTCTGCTTCAATATGAAGAAATCTGCGGCTGAGGCTTATCAAATGCTCTCAAATACCTATGGTGAGATCGCTATTAGTGAAAGAACGTGTCGTGAGTGGTTTCAACGCTTCACGAACGGTGATTTTCACGTCGAAAACCGGCATAGCGGTGGAAGAGGAAAGATTTTTGAAGATGCTGAATTGGAGGCATTACTTGATGAAGACTCGTGTCAAACTCAGAAAGAACTGGCACAATCATTGGAAGTGACTCAACAAGCCATTTCGAAGCGCCTCAAAGTCATGGGAATGATTCAAAAGCAAGGGTATTGGGTGCCGTACGAGTTGAAGCCAAGAGATGTTGAACGGCGTTTGTTTGCTTGTGAACAGCTGCTTGAAAGGCAAAGACGAAAAGGATTTCTGCATCGCATTGTGACTGGAGATGAAAAATGGGTTCATTACAATAACCCCAAGCGCAGAAAATCATGGGGAGTTCCCGGCCATGCTTCCACATCGACGGCCAAACCGAACATTCATGGCTCCAAGGTAATGCTCTGTATTTGGTGGGATCAGCTCGGCGTAGTGTATTACGAGCTATTAAAACCAACTGAAACAATCACAGGCGATCGGTATCGAACTCAATTGATGCGTTTGAGCCGAGCATTGAAAGACAAGCGGCCGCACTACGCCGAGAGACACGAGAAAGTGATTTTGCAGCATGACAATGCTCGACCCCATGTTGCAAAAGTGGTCAAGACATACTTGGAAACGTTGAAATGGGAAGTCCTACCCCACCCGCCGTACTCTCCAGACGTTGCACCTTCGGATTATCACTTGTTCCGATCAATGGCACACGGCCTGGCTGACCAACACTTCCAGTCTTATGAAGAAGTCGGAAAATGGATAGATTCGTGGATTACCTCAAAAGATGACCAGTTTTTTCGACGCGGGATTCGTGCATTGCCCAAAAGATGGGAGAAAGTAGTGGCCAGTGATGGACAATACTTTGAGTCATAACTTTATCTCCATTTTTTTTTACAATAAAGCCTCAAGTTTAAAAAAATAACGGCGAGAACAAAGTTGTACACCTAATAGAATTGTGTTTTTTGCACTATGATTTAATGTCACGCACTGATTATTAATGCCTATTGATAGTACTTTTATATACATCAACAGTACTTTTCGGTCATGTTGCAATAGCTCAACTACTGAACCCTATTAATTAACATCGAGAATTAGTTCACGCACCTAACAGTTTTACTCGATTTAAGCAGTTCAAAATGTATCACTTCCTTGATGTTCTATCAAATGCACTAAAGATCTTTTCTGACATGAATATTGGGTTTCACGGTCGATGTCGAAGGCTCACCCGGATTCGCATATGATTTTCGTCTTTTTCGTCGTTTTGGTTGTCGTAATATACTCACTTTTATCTCCCGTCACTATTTTGTACAGGAAGTTCTTCCTTTTAAACCGAGAAAACAAAAACTGATCCGTATCGTAACGTCTCGCTTTGATGTCCACGGAAAGCAATTGCAGAACCCAATATCCCTCTTTTTGAATTTTTCCCAGCTTTCGCAGCCGGACTGAAATGGTTGGCTAGATTATTTGTCATTTTGAAGCAAGTTCAAATTCGGGCTGGCATGGGTTTTCTGCCAATAACTGCTCCAAATCGTCATCTTCAAAATTCTTTGGTTATCCAGGACGTCCGCCGTCTTCGAGATTAAAATTTCCATCCCGGAAATTATGGAGCCATTTTTGCACGTATTATAAGATATAACATTCTCTCTTAACACTAGGTTTACGGGACCCGTCATTTTGACGGATTTCGGACTCCATGAGCAAAATTACTAAAACCTTTAATTTTTTCCAATTTATGCTAACAATTATTAGTGTAATGAGACGAATATATACCCAAATTTATTTCGCCCTCAGCCCTGTAATTTCAGAATGCTGTATGATGTACGAGGTCTGTTCATAAAGTATCGCGAATTTTGAATTTCCGCGGGTTACGTATATTCGATTTTCGATTTTTTTGTAGCGTTATGTTGGTACTTATGTCCCTCACTTATGCCGACAAGTTCGGCCATTTTGAATATTCAGTTTATCTTTGACAGCTGTTTTGCTTGGACGTGTTTTGGCTCGTCTTCGATTTTTGCCTATTCCAAAAAAAGGATCAAAGAATTTGTATCAAATTTTGTGTTAAAAACAAAATTAAGTGCGCGGACGCATTCCGAATGTTGACTGTGGCATATGGTGAAGCTACCTTGGACCGAAGCAACGTTTATCGGTGGTACAAAATGTTCTCAGAGGGCCGAGAAGATGTGAACGACGAAGAGCGTGCCGGACGCCCGAGCACGTCACAGACGAAAACATTGATGAAATGAAGAAAATAGTATTGGCCAATCGTCGAATCACCATTAGAAAAGTTGCTGACGACTTAAACATATCGATTGGCTCGTGCCATTCGATTTTTACTAATGATTTGGGCATGAGACAGGTCGCCGCGAAATTCGTACCAAAATTGCTCAATTTCGACCAAAAACAGCATCGCATTAATATTGCTGGGAAGCTGTTGGACTCTGTCCGCGACGACCTAAATTTGCTCCAGAGGGTCATAACTGATGACGAATCATGGGTTTATGGTTATGACGTGGAAACCAAAGCTCTATCATCCCAATGGAAGCTGCCGCACGAGCCAAGACCGAAAAAAACGCGCCAAGTTCGGTCGAATGTGAAGGTTTTGCTTACAGTTTTTCTCGATTGTAGGGACGTGGTGCATCATGAGTTTTTGCCACAGAGTAGAACGGTCAATAAGGAATATTACCTGCAAGTTATGCGCAATTTGCGCGAAGCAATCCGCCAGAAACGCCCGGATTTGTGGAAGAACAAAAATTGGCTTTTGCACCATGATAACGCCCCTGCTCACANAAAAATAACACACTAATGATGCCGCAGCCACCGTATTACCCAGACCTGGCCCCCTGTAACTTTTTCTTGTTCCCGAAACTGAAGAGGCACATGAAAGGACGACGCTACGCTACGATTGAGGAGATAAAGACGGCATCGAAGGAGGAGCTGAACAAGGTTACAAAAAATGATTTTTTGAAGTGCTTCGAGGATTAGAAAAAACGTTGGCACAAGTGTATAATATCTGATAGGGATTACTTTGAAGGAGACAAAATAGATGTTCATGAATAAATAAATAATTTTTGAAAAAACACAAAATTCGCGATACTTTTTGAACAGACCTCGTATAAACTGAATTAAATAAACATTCGTAAGACGTTTCATAAACTGTTTTATAAACGTTCGTAAAATCTTAAAAAACGCTCAAAAACAGAATTATTGTTTGATAACCATTTATGTATCGTTTGTTAATTGTTTTTTTGCCGTTTCTTACCGTTTCTATGCCGTTCATTTACCGTTTGTCAGCCGGTTATTTATAGTTTGTTAACCGTTTATAAACCGTTTTTCAGCCGTTTTTTACTGTTTGTCAGCTGTTTTTTCCGTGCGGAACTTTGATTGTTTGCGCAGGTGGGGACGAGGACCGTCGCGAACGCGGATGAGAGCGAGCACGAATTGTTACGAACGTGAACCGTTGTGGGCAAGCGAACGCGGATCGACGTAGATAGGTGGGGGGGGNCAGGTTCTGTGGGCTGCTGAAATAGTGAGGAGAAAAATATCGACCTCTAAAGGAATACCGATCGCCGGAAAAGGTACGCTTGGTAATACAATGATATTAGTTCCTGCGTGTGACATTAGCCCCTGCGCCCTGCGGTACCCCCCTCCCTCGTATGATGTCAGCTCCTGCGTCCTGCGGTATTTTTCTCCCCGCACGTGACGTCAGCCCTCGTACCCAGCGGAACTCCCTCCCTAGCGTAATATTACCTCTCGCGTCTAAGTTTTCTCCCTCCCCGTACTTTCCTCGGATTAGAACTGGATTAGCCTCTGGATTAGAATTTGTCTCATATACCTATTTATAAAAGCAAGAATGTGACATAAACTTGAAGAAAGATACGGAAAAGATGCCGATAAACGAACGCATATATCAGAAGTCGTTTGCCAGATTTCTTTCAGGTGAAATGGATATCGACGATGATTCTCGCTGTTTTTGATCTGACTACGAATATTGACTAAATAAAGGCTTCAATTGATTTCGATTTGCAAATTACAAC